AAATAAGACTATATAATAATAATAATAATAAAAAAAATCTATAATAATAAAACTACTGAACAAAAATATAACAATTTATAAAAAATCTAATAAATAAATAAATGCACTGTAAACAAAAAAAAACTAAACAAAAAAAAGAGATAATTTAAGAAAATCACTTTGAAACACACAGGGCATGTATTTATTTGATTAAGTTGCAGCCTTTGCAATTTCAGATTTATTTCAATTGACCATCCAGCCTTATTCCATAGTATATTTATGTATTTATTTTTATATTGTTTTATGTTAACCTAAAAGTTTATCATGTCTATCTATCATACCAAAGCTTTTAAACACAGAACGCGATGTAAAATAATACAAATGAACTATTTCTAGTTTCAAACTAGTTTCTAGTACCTTAAAGCTGATGAGCGTGGAGCGTTTCATTCTGACTGCATTGGAGCCGGACGCTGTACCTGAGCGCAGGTGTGTGTCAGCGGTGTGTGCGTCTGTGTGTGTGTCAGCGGTGTGTGCGTCTGTGTGTGTGTCAGCGGTGTGTGTGTCAGCTGTGTGTGCGTCTGCAGTGAGGGAGTCTGTGTGTGTGTCTGGATCCTCTGAGATCTCCTGGTTCTGCAGATGTGGATGGAGGCGTGATTGACAGCTGTCCGTCAGCACGCGCCGGCCCTCCAGACCCTGCAGTGAACACACACGCAGAGACGAGACACACACGCTCTGGCCGACACACACACACTGCCTCCAGTACTGATGCTTGGCTTCCTGACACACAGAACAGACCAACAAACACCAGATCAAACTTACAGAAAGATCAGATTATAGATTACTAATATTTACTCAATTAGGTAGAAAAGCATGAATATTTGTAATTAAAAAAATCTAAATATATACATAAAAGAGACACACACACAGAGAGACACACACACAGAGAGACACACACACAGAGAGACAGAGCATCACACTCCTGATCAAACGCATGCATGTCACGCTGGGAAAGCCGGATCCACTTCACCTCTGTCTGAGGAGCTCAGCCGCCCGCATCACGCTCATGACCTCGCTCAGGGCTCCTCCGGGGTCAAAGGCCATGGCCTCGAGGGTCACACACACCGGAGGGTCCAGCAGCTCCAGGTAACCCGCCCCAGGTGCATTATGGGGGATGTAGTTCCATGAGGGAAACAGCATCAGCCTCCCCAGCCAGAGACAAGACGACTTCAGCATCTGCACCAGAAACAAGAAGATCCTCAACTCTACACTGCAGTCAACCAACTGTATTTATGCATAAATATTAATGCATAAAATCAACAGGCAATTTCACATCTGAGTAATGGATTTAATGCACTGATTTTATGGTCAAAAGTCAAAAGCGATAAATAAATGAGAGTAAATGACACTGTAAAAATGATTTTATCAAAGTTGAATAGAGATTATTGGAGTATGTTTGCCAAATTTAGTATTTGAAAGTTTCATGTTTTAGTCAATGCGTTACTTGCCATTTCTTTATAATTATTTGAGAAACTTACCAAGTTGAAATTGAAATCCAAGTAAAAAATCCAAGTAAACCCTACATCATTTTTCTCAGCGTTTATGAAACATAAAGCTTTACAAAAAGCTTTCTTTTATTAACATTAGTTAACATGAACTAACAAATTGAAAATTAAATGATTTTAGTGCTGTCAAATGATTAATCGCAACGAATCGCATCCAAAATAAAAGTTTTTGTTTACATAATATGTGTGTGCTGTGTATATTTATTATGTATATATAAATACACACACATGCATGCATATATTTAAGAAAAATTAAGAAAAAAAGTATTACAATTAATTATAATTAGCTTTTATATCATTTAAGCTCATATAAGAAATTGCTATATTTGTCCCTAAACTTTTGAAAAAAAGTCTCAAAAGGGGCGGGGAAGTCGCTAAATCTAGCTACAAAGTAGGGTTTAAATTTCCACACCAAAAGAAATTTTACAAAAGTGATTTTAAATACATAGAAAACACAAGTAAAGTGTCTACTTTTAAGGTTTCAAATAAGTTTGGGGAGAATAAATTGTCAAAAAGTGGGTGAAATAATGTTCCACTGCCATTCAGTTTAATACTTACAGTATATTCATGTAAAAATTAAAATAACATACTTACTCTGACCTGTACGTTTTAAAATATACAAAAGAATAAGTGAGCAAACTAAATTAGATTGCATTTTAAATGAGTAAAACGTTCTTGCTGTCAAATGGCCAAAATGGGATCTTGGTAAAGTTTAAAAGTGTAAAATCACAAGTAAGTAGTATTTGGGGTAAAACTAATCATAAACTGATGCTTGTGGTAAATATGCCTGACAAGATTGTTACACTGAATCACATTTTAGTGGCTGCTTTCTGTAAAAAAAGTATAATATTTACTTTTTGCACAGAAAAATATTAGGTATAATTGATGTACATATAATTAGTAATAATACAATTATTCTTAACATAACTAAAAGGTATAATAAATTAAATAAACTACACTAATACACACACACTTACATATATATTACTATATTGCAATTACTATTAACGTACTATTTACGTGTGCGTGTGTTTAAATATAAACATATTAACTGATATTTTTATAATTAAAAAGTGAGAAAGCTGAGACTGAAGTAAACGTACCGCTCTGCTGTGGTTTTTAAAGCGCTTTAGAAACTCCTCCATCCGTCTGGACACGAACACTCTTCCGCGGTCACCGTCACGTTTATATTTATCACAATATGAGCGCAAATATTAAATATTATTATCGCCGATCTGTGAGATGCGCGCGCTGAACTCTGCCGCTCTTCTTCTGCGAGTGTTTGGGTGTGACGTCACGAGCGTCAGGCGCGAGTCTTCTTGCGCCTCCAAGTGGAGCGGAGGAAAATAACACAAGCGCCGGACACACTTATATATAATAATCTTGTTAAATCACGATCAAGAAAACAAATCAAATCATTTTCGACCTTTATGTGCAGAGTTTGCGGATTTATTTATTTTATGGTTCGTGTAGTATGCTATATTCATTTGATTTCTTAATTTATCATAATAACGTATTTTGGTTCTGGGTGTAAATGGTGTAAATGTTCACTGGATTATTATTTTTTATTATTTAATTTTTTTTACAAATAGACTACAACGAGTAGTTACACTACTAGTAACATGACTTTTCTTTCACGCTCCCACAGAAGTTGTAATTTTTGATCTTCCCGCAAAAAAATCATAACATATCAAAAACATAATAATCAAAAACATATTTCTGCCTCATCATTTCATCAAAATCCACACTAGATCGCAGTCAGAAGTTATAGCACTAAATAACACTAAACACTCTATTGTATAATTTCTCTGTTAGCCATATACGATTATATTTCATGATGTTTTTTATCAAAAGAAATCAATATGTTTATAAGAAAATGTTTTATTTTCTTCCAATAAATATTCCATATTCCAAGCTTGCCTGCTGATCTGGTGACTTAATGTGTCTGTGCAAGTCATAAAAATTTGGAAAATAAATCTAGGAATTATTGGTTTGTTAAATTTTAAATCAGTGGGGCATCAGAAGTAACTAAGTAACGAGCTGTTTTATGGTTAGCAATTGTAATTTTATTACTGAAATCTTATTAGTAATTAGCTACACTACTAGTTACTGCAAAAGTTAATATTATTCCTGTAACTAGTTACTGGCCAACACTGATAACCAGGGTGTGTGTTGTAAATAAAAACAAATCATGCAATTTTCTACCATCTAGTTAGGTTTTCCTGACCAACATGATGTTTCTAGAATGCTTGGAGAGAAACAAATAAATAAATAACCAAACAAGAACCATAAACTATACAGTAGCGTTCTGTGCAGTCACAGCTGAGGTGAAACTAAGTCAAGTTCAATCTCTTGACTGTGTCCTTATGAGCATGAGACAGTGTGGACAGTAATATAAGGGACTGCAGTACAGCATAATTTAACCCTCATCCGTCCCTCGGGTCATTTTGACCTAAAACTCCATTTTAAAGATTTTTTAAAAATCGAGCGTTGATCGTTATGGTATGAGACTTTTTTACTTTTGTCACACTTGAACCGGGAGTACATAAAAAAAAACTTGAGTGAATTCGAGCAGTTTAAGTGGGTGCTATAAAAAAAGCATCAAAAGTGTGCCTCGCGGGTCATTTTGACCCGCCACTGGAAAAGCATGGAACAGAGTGAATTCGAGCAGTTTAAGTGGGTGTTATATAAAAAGTATCAAAAGTGTCCCTCGGGGGTTTTTTTGCCCCGCCACTGGAAAAGCATGGAACTTACGGAAAAAACGTACAAAATTTTTTTTTTTGAAATTTAATTTTGTCACACTTGAGCATGGAGCACACACAAAACGATTTGAGTCGATTCGAGGATTCTATGTGTAATAAAATAAGGTGTAATAAAAAAAGTAACAAAAGTGTCCCTCGCGGGTCATTTTGACCCGGCCATAGGAATGAATGGAATGTCCGAGAAAAGCATTTTTTTATTTATTTGATTTTTTTTACTATATAAAATCTGACACAATCCAAAAAAGATGCATACCCAAACAAAGGGCTGAGACTGCAGAATGTCCTCAATGCACCAAAAACTCACATATCCACACACACACACACACACACACATACACACACACAAACACACACTCCCATTGAAACACATTATAGCATGTATGATGTTTCTGCTGGGAAATGAGTGTCATTTAAAAAATTTTTTTGACTTGACACAGTTTAATTTGAGTGATGGGGTGGAGACCAATGAGTTTATATCATATTTATATTTTTAAATGTAACTTTTATATTTATTACATATTTATGAAACTGTATGAATATGCATGTGTTCGGATTAAAATTCAGTATCAATTTCATTTTTTTTTATAAAATATAGTTTTTTTAATGTTTTGAGATATATCTGAAAGCTTAATGAAGCCTCAAGTTGGTGTAGTTTTAAAGATTTAACTTGTTTGGCTCATTTAAGAATCTCCATAGGGTTCTATAGGTCCCTCTAGTGGCTGTAATCATAAAATGCAATTTTATGTAATTGTTCCCCAGCAGATGGCATCAGAGACACTCAGTGACCTAGATCCTGATGGATCATCATGTTTAACCCTTAACTGTCACCGTCCCAGACTGGGACGCTTGGCGCTCCTTTTTTTTTGTACATGTATGCAGAAATGAATTTGCATGAAATGAATGCATATGTAGATAAATACATTATTTATTTACAATATAGGCATGGGCCGGTATGAGATTCTGACGGTATGATAACCTTAGATAAAAATTTCACGGTTTCACGGTATTGCGATTACAGCTCTAAAATATGTTATTTTTAAATGTCTGGGTAAAAAAAAAACTTTTTTTTCCCACTGAACACATTTTATTTTTAAGAAACATAGAACATTTTGGAACAGTAAACATGTCAGGCTAAATAATTAGAATAAATAATTAAATTCTTCTTAATTAAATGCAGTCACTTAAGTGAGCCTAAACCTGCAGAATTACAGTTTAAGTCACTTCCGTGTTGGCTTCACGAGAGAGAACGGGAGGTTGCCGCTTGGTGGAGACAAAAGAGTAATCCAAAACGGGCATGAGTCAATCGACAGCGAACGTTATCCAGAGGGCTTGACAAGAGGGGAAATCCAATAACACGAGCAATAGTCCAGGCCAGGTGCAAACACAGTCCGAAACAGAAAGGCAAAGGGTTAATCCAAGATAAACAGGCAAGAATCAGGTAACACGGGAAAGCAGACAAGACTAGGATTCTAGTCTACTATGTTAATATGAAGAAATTTTCTGTATTGATTTTTCCACAGGTTTTTTACCTGCATTTTTAATTATGCATTGTATTTTGTGTTTTTGGATTACAGGGTTACAACGGATAATGTCCTGGAAAATTACCAGTACCTTTTCCATTTTTATAGATATTTTTCTTACAGTGTACTAACTGATCAACAAGCTACTAACAAAATGTATCATAAATGAACAATTATTTAATGAATAAATTATTTAATTACTATTATTAAATTAAACAATTGCAAATAGCAGCTAACTTAATACACGTGATGTGTGTACTGCTAGGCATCTTTGGTTTTCTATTTTTGTGTAATTTAAATGGTAAATGTGTAAAAAACATTATCATTTCAGTCACTTATCAAAAGTTGCTAAAAATAGCTAAATTTGTTGCTAGGTGCTTTTGGAAGAAAGAGTTGCTAGGGTAGTCTGAAAAGTTGCTAAACTTAGCAACAAAATTGCTAAGTTGGCAACACTGTTCAGGACACACGATCCAGGCCGGAAGTGAGGGGTGGAGTTAGTAAAATGTAACAACATGGCGGAGAGCAGGGTGAGTAAAGTTTATGTCATTTTGTGATGAAAAATTCGTTCAAAAGTTAAATGTTTATGTTATAAATACTGTTTAGCTAACAGACGCCTGCACTGTTGATTCTGAAGGCCTTAAGGCAGATTTCTTTGACCCTGGCAACACGATTGCTGAAATATGATTGGATAAAAGCTCTAATATAAACATACACTGCTGGAAGCAGTGCAACCAAGAGAAAAGCTATGAACTGAAGAGAATAGACTATTGGAAATAATTTAATACACATTCATGGAAAAATATGGTAAAACTAAATCAGTGATTCTGATAGTGTTTAGGCCAGCAGAGAAGGCTTTGCTGGCCCTGACGGCCCACCACTGCTGGAAACACACCGAACAACCAATGCAGGATATTAGTGCTGCGTTTCATCTTACAAGCCAATGTTTTGATAAGACCAATGGTATATTTACCGTTCTTAAAGATACTAAAGGACAGAGTGTTCCACTTCATGTTCAATACAAGACATGGGGAGAAGAACATACGGTCCTCTGTGAAGTAAACGAATGTCAAGTCAACATGGAAGTTGCACGGAGAAGTGGGCTCTTCTCTTACCAATGCAAGCACATAAGATCTGTAATGTACTGCACATCCTCTGCAGAACCTGTCACTTTGAAAGAGGAGGTTTTAACAGAAATGGTAAAAGCAAAGTGGTTCGGTAGCGAAAAGAAAAAAATATGCCTTACTCGGCAGCAACTTGCTGACAGTCACTGTATGCCACTCTCTGTTCAAACTTCAATTGGCATCCCACAAACCAAAAAATTCATTTCCGTATTTGAACCCAGTGTATCCTATTACAGCCGGTTGGGACGTGTAATGGTTGTCTATGATACTAAATTAAACACATGGCACTGCCCCTGTGCAAAATCTAAATGTTCATGTGTGCACAAATATATTGCAAAGTGGCACCTGTTTCAAACACAGCGTGACCTGTTTCGGACAGTCTTCAGCACAGAACATTCACCAAACAAAAGGCCACATCCCCAGTCAGAGGAGGAGGAGGATTTCACAAATGAGAGTCCTGTGTATCCGCCAAAAGGTCTGGGACTAAAGAACATGGTATCTTACATTTTTCAGAACAAAAAGATACCCGCTTCTGGGCTCCTTGGATTGGCAAGAACATGCGTCGTTCGGACACTGTGCTAAACACAGAGTTTGAAAAACGTCATGCTTCAAAGTTTTCATCAGAGATCTCAGAAATTACAGTTACCGAGGAGAGGCTCAAGGAAGAACTTCGCAAACAAAAGGTTGGTTAATTGAACCTTTATTTGGTTAAATAATATTTTACAATGCATGCTATATACAGTAATATTTTTTTTGATAGGTAAATGTTATTAGGAGATTGTCAAAAGAAATGAAATCCAGGCAGACATATGATAAAATCTTTGAAAAAATTTGGGGAGCCTCTGGTGAGCTTAAATTCTAATTCTGTTTGAAATTGCCAATATATTCAATTTTTATACAATTTATGATATTACCAATACATTATCTTTTAAACCATTTTTAGTATGTTGTATATTTGTTTTTTATTGAATGTAATTTTGAATCTTCTGCCTTGAGTCCTGTCTTCTTTCCTGTATTAGGAGGATGGGGGGTGATCATGTGCCCATGTGGAATAGTCTATAGTCTAAAGTGCAATCTTCGAGCTGAGAGCCCTCGAGACTTTGCAGACTTGCTGTTATCATGGAAACACATGCCTAACGTAATAATTTATGACTTTGCACGGGGGCTCGCAACACACACTAATCTAAGGGTACCAGAAAATATTCCCATTCATCCATATGAAGGACGCCTAGCGGAACCCACTGAAGAGAACATAGAACTGGCAAAATCTGGGAAACTGAAAGTGTCTTTGCCTTGGCTGGAGGAAAAATTAAGAATGACAGATCCTCATGGGCACCCAGTGACAGGTTCTTCTGATCATTACGTATTGTCTGACTGTTTTCATGAAAGCAACACCAAAGACCATAGAGATGTTCTGAGAAAGATCACTATAGTGCCTCAACTAGCTGGCAAAATAAACAGCCAGGTTGCAGAACAACTGTTCTCAAAGATGAGGAAAAACAACTATTTTTTAAACATGTCTCGGCCTTCTACTCATTTGTTTCAAATGAGAACCATAATTCACCACTACAATGAAAAAAGGAACAATAAAGTGATGACCAAATTAAGGAAGACTTTTGGATCTAAGATGGTGGTGAATATGCATGGACATGCTGTGTTGGGTAAAGAAAAATACCTTATATGAAATATTAAACACTGTTTTTACAATTGGTGGAAAGACATTGGCCACCAAACATAATGTGTGTTTTGAAGTAACTGAGTTTTGGATGTAACTTTAGATTTGTTTGTATTGTAATAGAAAACATGAACATCTCCAGTGAGGAAACCACAGAAATTGAGATGGAGGACACAACCCTTACATCTGTGACAGTCCCAACCAGTAGGTGTTTATATATCTAGTAACTATTCATTTATCTTGATATATAGTTTATAAGCTGTTTTAATCAGTTATCCACATTTTTCCATTACAGCAGAAAATGAAATGGTGTGTAACATCAAACACCTGTCTGCAAATAGAGTGTGCTGGGATTGTCTACCAAGTCATAGGCAATCAGAAATGGTACATGAATGATTGTTTTCAATTTTATGTTTTGTTCTTCTTTTGAAGAGTGAAAAGTATAAGACTTTCAAAAGCTTTTTTTTTTTATATTACAATTACATTTCTAAATTTTAATTTCAGTTCTATTTTTGGTTGTTGAAATGTTTTTTTTATTAGTATGTTGCACTTTTTCCATGTTCAATTTGAATTTTAAAATAAAAAGTATTATTGACATCAAACGTCCATTCTCGGTGTCTTTAAGTATTTGTTACAAAACAAACATGACCTAAATATCTCATCATAACCTACAGTCAAAAAAAATGTTAGGGTTTACTAGATTGATCAAAATGAATATCAATTTAAAAAATAAAATTGTTTTTTTATATAATTATTTTAGTATTTTGTGTATTATTAAATATTGTAAATCCTATCAAAATTCTTGGGATGGTTCATATTACATCTAACAAAAACAAATTGCACTACAAAACTGCGACAGATCCACCGTTAACCATATATGGTTCGCCTTACTTCCGGCCTGGATCGCGTGGTCTGGATTGTGTCATGAAACGTGTGGGGCTGCGGGGCTGCAGCTGGATATTATTGTGCTGACTCCGCTCGCACCAAACGGAGGGGGAGGGGTCGTGTGACTCGCTACTCTTCGCTGAACACAACTGAGGGAGTCCTGCACTTTCCGTCCTTGACGACACTAAAAAAACTGCGCACACCACAGGAATGGTATAACGGGAAATTTGAGTGGTTTTGAAACCGTGACTTTTCCAAACCGCGGTATACCTTGAAACCGGTTATCGTCCCATGCCTAGTTGATATACAGCCATTGAACTCTTTTCTCTCCGTGTTGTATTTGCTAGATGGTCCCTATCTTCGTGGTTTCATTTCCTGTCTTTTTTTAAACTCTTTAACATCTTAATGCAGTAGTATTGATTTCTATGGGAGGTTCAGCACAGCTGAGGGAGGGACGTTAACCCAAGGGCAGTAGTCCTGCTCATGCATAAATACCAGATCATGAATATAAAACTGCCATTTAGATCCTCTAGCTTTCACTTTCTATGCTTTTAGATTTCTCAATCCAGATTTGATCAAACTAAGGCATGGACATCAGGTGAGTTGACGATGTCAATTAATGTAATATCTGTATGCTTGCATGAGGACTTCATAAATATCCCTCTTGATTTTATGAACTTTGCATGGAAAATATATAAAGAAAAGGTGATGTAAGTAACTTTACAGATGAGATCAGTGTTACTTGCACCATGTAATGCCATCATCATCAGACGATTGAAGATCTTCAGCTTTCTCCAGTAGAGAGGAGTTCATTGTTTAAGACAAATAATGCAAAAATACTGCTAAACGTGTAAATGTGATGTTGAAATGTACTACAGAGTAGGCTATTTTTACATGTGGCCGTCTTGAGAAGCGAGAAAGCTTCGAAAAATGGCTCATAAAAAGTACGAGGACGTAATGCTTTTTACAAGTCGGAATTTAAAATTACGATATTATGGCGTGAACATTTTACATGAAATGTTGGAGTTGGAGTGGGGTATGAGTGGTTATGAACGCATGAATGAAAAGCATTTGTCCGTGTTTCACTCCGTCTCGAATCGCGCTCGCGGAAAGCGCTTGAGAAACAGTGTCTCTTCCGCGGCTCGGTACGCTTTCAAGTCTCGAGCAAGACTGTACGAAATTCTCATCACATTATATGATTTAACTGATTTTTACGTAGAAAGGGCGACAGCGCACCGCATTAAAATAAATGATCATTCATGTTTTCATAACCGCATAACCGAAACTAAAATGAAGTCATCTTTGAGAGCAAGGGGGCCCTACGCAGCTTGCGTATTTTGTGTATAGGGACCTGGCCCTGCGGCCGCACCCTCAGCACCCCTATAGTTCCCGCGGCCATGAGCTAAATTGGAAATTGGTTATTTCTGTTTTAACCCTCAATCTGTTCCTGGGGTCTATATGACCACAATCAACTTTTACTTAGTTTTTTTTTTTTTTGAATGGTTTCCTTCATCTCAGCGGAATACGATTTTGTGACTTTTCTACATTTTCTGTCTATATTCACATTAAAAAACTGGGCTTGATTCGGTTGTTCTGAAGGTAAGTAAAAAATATATATTTTTTACAAATCTGGTCTTTGGGATCAATATGACCCTACATTGAAATGAATGGGAAATGCAAAAAAATCTATATATTATTTTTTCATTTGTCAAAAAAAAACCAAAAAATAAAATAAAATGTGGCATAAATCTGAAGATGTCCACACAGAAATGCAGGCCTGGTACTAGAGCACAAATGTAATGTGGAACGAGCATACTCACTCATGTACGTACACACACACACATACACGCGCGCGCACACACACACACACACATACTTGTATTTGTGGTTTACGGGGACTCTCCATAGGCGTAATGGTTTTTCTACTGTACAAACCGTATATTCTATTGTCCTACACCAACCCTACCCCTAAACCTACCCCTCACAGGAAACTGCTGGCAATTTCTGCATTTCATAAAACACCGTTTTGTATGTTTTTTAAGCCTTTTGTTTTACGGGGACACAGGAAGTGTCCTCATAAACCATGTTTACGTTGTAGTACCCATGTCATTATACACATTTGTGTCCTCATAAACCATATATACCTGTACACACACACACACACACACACAGGCATGTGAGCAAATCCACTGAGAATCTGAGACAGAACTTCCTCATGATGTCAATAACACCATCAACCAGTTGAGTGAGAGATTGTGCACACAGCCCTCGTTTGAGCAACAACCATCGAGCTCTCAGTCATGTTTATGTGCTGGATCAGAATAAGAGTTTGCATTGTTCTGCCACAGATGAACTTACAGTAGATACATCAGTGTTCTCTGTGTATCATGGATTTGGCTCTCATCCTCTCATCATATGTGTGTTTGTCTTCGTTATTTCGCGACGTTCACCTCGAGTGCAGCAGGTTGAGAGATTATCTGTCTGATAATGTGCCTGTCAGCTCTCTCCACTGATTACCTATAAACCCATTAATCCTGCAGCGTTCAGGTTAACTCAACACTTCATCCGTGTTAAAGACTCTACCAGAGGAAACAGATACAGTCGCTTCACATTACAGTGCTTCTCTTACAGCAAGTTCTCTTTCATCATCTCGTGTTCGAGATCCACCTATGGGAAGGGCATCCGTACCTGACCTCTGCAGAAGCATCCAATTGCACCAAGTCTGGCTAGACAGACAGAAGCGCGCAGCCAATGCCAGGCAAGGCCCCACCCCCTTACCTGAGAGCATATAAGGCCTGCATGCGACGCTATTCTCCAGTTGTCATTCGCTTCTCGCGATCTCTGCACGTCACAGCTCGGGTTGGATTCATCACTGCTCACTTTTCGTGTCTTTAGGAGGACATATCGTCAAGATCAGCCTCCGCCAGACGTGACAGTCTTTTATTCAGCCCAGAAAAAGCTGTTTTTGCATCCTGAGCCGCCCACGCTCTGTGATTATTTTCACCTGCTCCCCTTTTCCACGGCTGCCCGCCACGGATTTTACTCAGTTTTTCGCCGGCATGTCGCTCTCCAAACCTACTTCTCTCGGGGGCTGCACATCATGGGCCTGCCCGGCATGCGTGTGGCGCGCTGATCGCCGCTAAGGATCCGCACCCTTTCTGCGTGGTCTGCTTGGGCCTCAAGCATGCTGAAGAGGCTTTGGAGAACACGGAAAACTGTAGCCATTGCCTCACATTGCCTAAAAAGCTCCTTCGGCGCCATCTCAAAGTTGCCGCGACCCAGTGCGTCGAGCTCGGCCTTTCGGACTCGGATGGGGGACACGGTGATGACGACGCGCTACCGGGGGCCTCCCGGGGCGCAACGTCTCTCAACTGGGCTGACCAG